AAAAATTTATTTTTTTCAAGCTTTGAAAAATTAAATTGAAATTTTTTAAAAAAAAAAAAAAAAAAAAAAAAAAAAAAAAAAACAATGATAATAAAACTAACTTTAAAAAAATGTTTTATGCAGAAATAGTTTTCAGCATCTTACTTTTCTTGAGCTCTGTGTTTATAAAACCACATTTATAATGATTACATTATAATTATATAGCTAATGTATTATGCTGTTGCAGTCATAACCACAAAAAACAAACAAACAAACAAAAAAAAAACATGCATTTTGAACTTTTATGAAGCCAAAAATGTTTCTGCAGGAGTAGAGATCAACACCTCTGTTAAAAAAGGAGCTGGTTGTTCAGGTGATGACCTTAACGAAGAACTATTTGTACTTGCATAGGAAATCACGGGATACAGACACTTTATGTGTGGGAGTACTTAAACAGACTCCCACACATAAAGAAGTGTTGCTTTGAGAAAAAAAATTGCTATTATCTTTTAATCTTTCCCAAAAACTGCATGTACTCTAAGTAGCTAAGCCTGAATCACATTTGTTTACATTCTCCGTATGTTTTTTCCAGCCTGTCTATAGATAATTTTAGCCTCGCTTACATAAGAAGATTCCTGGGATCTCGCTTTGAAAGTCAGTTAAAGAATTATGCAGTAAACTGAAGCCAAGTCCAGAGCTGGTCCAAAATTGTACGTGGCCTAAATCAGACCTGATCTGGGCCCCCACCACCAGTTGGACCCGTCACCTACCAACCACACAGCACCTGCTTATAAACATCCAGAATTTTGCATCCCCAGTCCCAAAATTTTGGGGCATAATAGTTAGCCAAAATTTAATAACGGACCTAAATACAGAATGTGTCTTGTTTAAGCCTTAAAATATATATTTCATGCTATTTATTAAGCAAGTAGTAGAAAATACATCGTAAAATGTAGGTTATTTCTCTAAGTTTGGCCTGGTACTTGTATTTACAGTGCAGCATTTCAACAAAAGCTAAAAAATGTTTTATAAATAATAATAACTAGAAAAAGGGGACAATTTATGTGGTTGGGCTTACAAACATACTTTGAAAACAATATATTAACCAAAATTTACAAGTATTCTGTTTCATAATAAATGTAATTTTAAATCACTTAAGCATGAAAGGTCAAACAATCTAGCAAAATTCTTGGGCTGCAAATAAACTTTGTATTGTTTAAATTGCTGCTTAATTTTCTCTTAAGTAATTATTACAAATAAATGTCACCCCCAATTCTTTAGCTTTTTTTTCTTTATTATTCTTTCTGTTAGTTTTATTTTATTACTTTATCTACTGTTTTTATTTTCTATATTAATTGACTTACTTATTTTATGATTTATCAACTTATTTATTCATTCAAATCATTTCTATTGCCCTGTTTAGGACAATAACTTATTTGTTAGTCTGAAATTCTTAATCTGGATTTATAAACACGAATTACTTTAATCTATATTTTGTTTATTTAATTTTTTTAATATAGTATGTAGGATTTGACACGCCACAAGCCAAAGGTTAGAATTTTGCAGTTTGGAAGAAATATGCATAAACAAACTTAGTAGGTAATTTCATCTTATAACTCAATTTTGTCATAAATACATTTTAAAGCATCATAATCAATGCTTTGATATTTTCCTACAAGATACATTTTTTTTTCTGAGGTTTTTTATTGCCAAAAAGCAGGAAATTTTTAACCACATTTCTGTGGTTAAAAATGTTTCATTCACCAGATTTCTTCATTCTTGGTTACAGAGAGTATTATTCTAGATTATTATCGTACATTTGGTAGGTTTTGAACTGCACAAAAAACAAAGTGAAAGTGTGACTGTTGATGCTGCTTGGAAATAGCTTTTTCATTTTTGATGTGTCTGAACATAATTCAAGCTTTTCCCTTACCCTCTGCCCCACTAAATCCAGAATCCAAAGTTCTGCGACTTTGTGGACAAACAAACTGGATACAAGACGAAGTGCGTAATGTCCTACCCCATGATAGCTGACAAAGACTGCCTTGGAGTCATCATGGTGCTTAACAAAATAGGAGCTGACGCGTTCACGCCAGAGGATGAGAAGGTAAGACCATTACATCCATGCTTATCCTGGCTGAGAAAGGTGGAATGCTGCTGCAGGTCCTTCTGACCCCGAGTGCTTTGAATTCTAGATGCTCATGAATTTTAAACCGTACAAAACATCCTTCTCTCTCTGTAACATGCATTTCATTGTCATTATTGGGGTCTGGCTGATAGTTAAAAACTGTATTCAAGTTCAGTAAAATGTTAAAGTGAATGAAAATTAGTTGTGTGATTATGTGGCATAGAAAGCCGTCTCATTATGCTGGAAGGAGCCGATCAGACCAGACAGGTTTGGTGTGCGTGCTTTTAAGCATTCAGTCGGAGAAAAAAAAAAGCTTTTTTCTTTCTGCAGGATGGACTAGATATTTCACCTGTATGTCTAAAAGCCATGAAAGAAACAAAAAACAAAACATCTCAGCCAGATTAAATGGCTCAGATGGGAACAATGTTGTTTGCTTGACCAGTTCTGGTGAATCCTCAGTTGTGAATTATTGATAAGTTATTTCCTTTAGAATACGTTGATTCGTTTAAAAATATAGATTGGTAGCATTTTAGAAAAACATGCTGCACCACTTAGCCTTGCATCATTCACAAGTATCAGATTTTATCACCCTGCCAAGAACTACAAAGTGTTTTAGATGAGTATTTGCTTGCCTGAGGTATCTTTTTTATTATTATTCCAAGTGTCTTAAATCTTTATCTGTGTTTAAATATCTGTCATCTGTTTTGGTCCACAGCTTTTCCATAAGTACATGACTTTTGCTCAAGTCATTTGTCTGCAGTATCACACAGCCTACATGTTCAACGTAGAGTCCAGGAGGAGTCAGGTAAACAACTCCTGCAACATACTTCATGGAAACTTGAATAAGTTTACTAGATCTGTCCGGAATGCAGCTTCTATGGTGTTAAAAATCACATCAACAGCATATTTTGGGGGTTATTTTTGGCTCCAGGTGCTGCTCTGGTCTGCCAGCAAAGTTTTTGAAGAGTTGACAGACATCGAGAGGCAGTTCCACAAAGCTCTCTACACTGTGAGGATCTATCTGCAGGCTGAGCGTTACTCAGTGGGGCTGTTGGACATGACCAAAGAAAAGGTTGGTGCAGAGAACACTGCTTCTTTAAAATTTATTTGATTGATTTGCTGGATCATCTACAGTCTTTTTCTGCGTTTCCTTCTGCAGGAATTTTACGACGAGTGGCCTGTGAAACTAGGAGACGTGGAACCCTATAAAGGACCAAAAACACCAGACGGCAGGGTGACAAATTCCTATTTTTTCTTATAAAACATTTAAACTGTGTAGTTGTTTTGCTTAAAAGTGATGGCTAATTTCTAAAAGTTTTTCCTCTTTTCTTGCAGGAAATCAACTTTTATAAGATCATTGACTACCTCCTTGAAGCCAAAGAAGAAATTAAAGTCATACCGTGAGCAGCCACATCCAACATAAAGCTTTGAATATTTCATTTTCTAAAAGTGACATAATTCCTTCTCCTCTTCTCCGTTATCCGTTTTTTTGCAAAATTGCCGCGGATCCTTGTTTCGCATTGTTTGTCACACTTCCAGTTTCTAAGTTGAAAATATGAAAGTTTGGTGGTTTTAACAGGTTTCTTTTTTTTTCCAGAGGTCCACCTGCAGATCACTGGGCTCTGGTCAGCGGACTGCCGAGCTACGTGGCAGAGAACGGCTTTGTAAGTCAGTTTGATCAAAACAAACAAAGAAAACTTGACATGCTACACTTAAGAACTGATTGTCACAGCTGTCTACATTTAGCTGTAAAAAAAAAAAAAAAAAGTTATTCAAAATATTGTTTGGGCATTGTTTTTAATTTCTTTGTTTTTGAAATATATTCATAATTGTATATCAATGATTTCCCGTCCAATACTGTGAACATTCCTAATAACCAAACATATAAATTTGTGTGACAAAGTCAGACATCCTTTGAACATTTATATTTGAAATGGGCTGATTGCTCAAACATCCCACAGCTGAAAACTGAGGAGTGGAAGAAACATTGAAACACTGATTTCAGTGACAGGAACATGTTTACAAGTCGCGATTAGCAGCATTAAGTGATAGGATGCCTTGACTTCTCCGTCAGTTTGGAATCACAGCTCTGTTGATACCTTTTATTTTTGATTAAGACAAAAACAAAGAAAAACCATCAATAGCTGAACATTTCTTTTGAAAGAACTGAATATCTATGTAGGTCTCTGAATTTTTGAATGATTGCATAAAAACTATTTCAAGTCAAGTCAAATGTATTCGTATGGCACGTTTCAGCAGGAAGGCAATTTGATGTGTTTGATGACAAACTTAGATACTGTTTCACTACATACATCCATACAAGAACCAGCTGCAATAAGTGTTTCCATCTTGTTGCCTACAGATTTGCAACATGATGAATGTTGCTGCAGATGACTACTTCACTTTCCAGGTACGCAAGGCCAAACCGAACAAAGGATGCTTCGCTCCTTTGTCTATTTCGCAGAACTCTCTCGCAGATTTCTGGTAAAGAGGACAAAAGTCTCGGTTTTACTGTAATCTCTGCGCTTCACAGAAAGAGGCAGTGGACGAGTCGGGATTCGTCATCAAGAACGTCCTGTCACTGCCCATCGTCAACAAGAAGGAGGAGATTGTGGGCGTCGCCACCTTCTTCAACAGGAAGGACGGCAAACCGTTTGACGAGTATGACGAGCAGATCACCGAGGTAAGGATTCCGCGTAAGCTTTCGCCATCGGTTTTCTCTCGTTTGAGCGCCGTCCTTATCCTTTTCTCTTTGCTCTCTTGCTGTGCTTGAACTAGGCCCTGACACAGTTCCTGGGGTGGTCGGTGTTGAACTGTGACACCTACGACAGGCTGAACCGCATGGAGTGGAGGAAAGACATTGCCCAGGAGATGCTCATGTACCAAACCAAATGCACCTCGGACGAGATGCAGTCCATTCTGGTCTGTATCAACGTGGTTTTCTTTGACATTTAGCAGTTGCCGCAGTAATTTATAGGAGAGCTCTGAGAATAGCTTTTAAAAAAAAAAAAAAACAATTTCGCATCAGAAGCTTTAAAGGACTATAAAAAGGTCAGGGTTATTATACGTCCGCCTGGCAACTAACATAAAAAAAAAAGACACAAGGGCTTAAACATGGCTTTGAGCATTTTCATCAAGTGAGTAAGGAGAGAACTGTGCTTTAAAGGTCTGTTAATCGACACGGCATGTTGATAAATGTCATGTGAAATGTTTTTCATAACCAGAACACCAAGGAGAAGTTTGATGCTGAGCCTGAAGACTGTGACCAGAAGGAGATGTACAAATTACTGGTGTGTGTCATTTTATCACAAGATATTACAGTGGAAACCAGACGTTTATAGACAAATTACCATTTTTTTCTTTCTCGTCTGACTTTAATCAGATTAAATATTTGCTATTTTCTATTTGTTAAATCCTATAATAATGAGATTTTTATTGTCAGAAGGTTAAATTAACCTTCAAACAATTTGGTGAAGTCAATGCAATAATCTCTTGGCTTTAAAAGTCAAGAGATTATTGCAGTGATGATTCAATGCATTAAATCGTCAACATTACAAGAAGTAAGAGAAATGAAAAAAAAAAAATAATTGTGTGCTTTATACAGTGTATACAAATATTACTTCTTTAATTAATACCGAGGAAATTTTTTTTGTATTTCCATCAAAATCAAATCCGACTTTCCCTAATGAAGTATCGGTTTTGTGTGTTTCCGTTCAGAGGGCAAACTGCCCACCTGCCGACAACGTGGACGGAGAGAATCTGTACAACTTCGGCTTCAGCGACTTCCCCGTCACGGAGCATGGCCTCATTAAAGCCGGCATCCGCATGTTCTTTGAGCTCGGGGTTGTCGAAAAGTTTAAAGTTCCCGCAGAAGTGAGTCACCCAGTCTGACACTTGTTTTTTTTATTATTATTTTATTTTCACGACGAAGCAGCTCTAACAAGGTGCTTAGAGCTGCTTTTCAGAGAAGGAATATTTCCTTCTGAAATACTGTTCTGTGTGAAAATGTCTCGTTACTTTTCCCAACACGTCTGAATTTTGATTATGTCCTTTATTTGTTGAGATCTCAACAAATAAAGATCTCAACAAATAAAGAGATCTTTATTTGTTGAAATAAAGATCTCTTTATTTCAAAGAGATCTTTGAAATAAGATCTCTTATTTCAAAGAACGATAATTATCGTTGATGATTATCAACGATAATCATCGTTGATGTTTCCTTGTGTAAATATTTTATTATACTAAATGACTATAGTAGGGATATTTTTGGAAAAAATCCCAAAACAAAACAACAAGGCAATTGTTGCAGTAGAGATATACATAACTAAGTTAAATGGTGGTTTATCAAGTATAACAAGATAATATGAGCTGGCTTGTTAGTTGGGCTATCTGCTGCGATAACCACCCTTCACTTAAATGTTTAAGAGAGATGTTGCTAATGCCTCAGCAGCTATCATTCTAACATGTTACTGTAATGAGAGTGATGGGTTTCCCGTCCTCAGTTCCTTTACTGCACGACTTTTCTTCTCTCTGCCTCCTTCGTGTCAGATTACTATCACATGAAGACCAGTAGTGATGAAAATAAACTTTAAAAAATCTAGAAAAACAGAAGACATAAAAACACAAATAAGATATTTGACAGAATGATTGCTAAGTTTACTTATTTATCTGTTTTTATTAAACTTGAGGGGGGATCCGGGGTCAGCACTAAAGCAGCAGCCTCTGTTTGTGTTTCCTCAAGAGCGTAAATCCTTACCTCAACTCTGAGATTTCTAAAAGGCCGCCAACATTTCAGAATCCAGGATAATCTATACCAGACAGAGGTAGAAATCTCAAAAGGATTAAACAAAGCTACTTTGCTGTACTCCTCACAGCCTTCCCATCATCTGCTTGCTCTCTCTTGCTCTTTGGCAGCCGGAATGAACCACAGAAATGTCACGAAATGCCGCAGAAAGCAGTTTATTCCCCAAATAGATTCTTAGATCTCTGCGTCTCTGATTTTCCTTTTAAACACCCCACTGATAACCTTATTTGGCAACTTTGAGGTTTCTTCCCTCAGTAATGACTCCTAAACCGAAGAGGGTGGTTGTCACCATATTATGTTTTCATGTGAATATAAATGGTTTGATGTCGACCAAAATCTGATTTCATGGTGCTGCTCTACTTTGAGCTGTAAGAACAGTATGACGAAAAACGTTAGCGATATCTAAGCCACAGCTTTAAACGTTTGACCCGTGCCTACTTTACTGTAAACCTTTAAAAAAGAAAAAAGAAAGAAACTAAAGCAGGAGAAGATCTACCTTCTAGGAGAATTTTGACTTTCTTTGTTTTGACTCTAAAGTAAATTTGAACCTTGGATGGCGCTCATTAGATCTCGACTCAACATGCAGCATTAAACCTCTTGTTTTCTCAGACTCTGACCAGGTGGATGTACACTGTGAGAAAGGGTTACCGTGCTATTACATACCACAACTGGAGGCATGGCTTCAATGTAGGCCACACCATGTTCTGCCTACTGCAGGTGATGCTGTTTGTATTTCGCTATAAATCTCTTCACATTCCTGAGGCTCTATTTCTGATCCACACACACACACACACATATTCTTGATTTGCAGACAGGGAAGCTGAGGAAGTACTACTCGGATCTAGATGCCTTCGCCATGGTGGCTGCGGCTTTCTGCCACGATATCGACCACAGGGGAACCAATAACCTCTACCAGACAAAGCAAGTTAACAAAAAAACCTTTTGTTATCATAACCAAAGTTGAACAGTTTTCTCATGATAGCTGTTTTTTTTCCCTAATCCGTAGGAGTGCATCTCCTCTGGCCAAACTTCACGGCTCCTCCATTATGGAGAGACACCATTTGGAATACAGCAAGACGCTCATGGGAGAGGAGGTGAATGCATGGATTCAAATGAAAAATACTGACTAAAATTGTTCTTGGTGTCATCATAAACTTAGACTGACCACCAAATTTTGCCTGTCATCCACTGCAGAGTTTGAACATCTTCTGCAACCTGCAGAAGCGTCAGTTTGAGACCGTGCAGCACTTGTTTGATGTTTGCATTATTGCCACTGATCTGGCCCTTTACTTCAAGTAGGTTATTTACAAAAGTACAAAAGTATATCAGAATTGCTTTTATTCATGCAATGTTATGGCGTTTATGGCCATTTCTTTCTTTCCTTCTTTCTTTCTGCAAAAAAACAACATTTTATTTAATTCCATAGTTATTTTTAATTGCTTAGATAATCAAATACATACTTTTACTTTATCTTCTTCATTTTCTTTCATTGTTTCTACTTATTGCTTTTGCTAGAATTAAGATACATAATCACCCTTCAACATTTTATAAGGAAGGATGCCTCATATGGTATATTCATGATAATTATTATTATTTTTAATGTCCTCTGTTTGTCTGCTTGCAGGAAGAGAACCATGTTCCAAAACATTGTGAATGCCACAGAACCAATGGGAGATGAAAAGGAGGCCATTGCCTACATTTCCAACAACCCCATCAGGAAGGAAATTATCATGTATGCAACTTTTTTTTATGGCAGCAAAAAAAAAAAAAAAAAAAAAAAAAAAAAAAAAAAAAAGCTTCTACCTGTTCCAACCGTGAAAAGCCTTCTGACACAGCGGGCCGCTAAAAATCATATTCATCACAGCCAGGATGTCACCTTGCTTTGACTGACTGTCTGTTTCTCACCTTCAGGGCCATGATGATGACAGGCTGTGACTTGTCAGCCATCACCAAACCCTGGGAGGTGCAGAGCAAGGTGAGCCTTGAAGTGAAGTTTGCTAGCAAATAATAATTAGCTTTTTTTTTTTTTTTTCTGCTATCATGCCTATTTTTTTAAAAAAAATTTTAGGCTACTTGAGTTGGAAGGTCAGAAATAAACTGCTTATTTAATTGATGGAGGGAGGCTGAAAATGGCCCTGAAAAGGCTGCTTTTTAGAGTCAGATGTCTTCATTTCACATGCAGCCGTTTTCATTTTGCTCGTTGTCTTTGCAGGTGGCTCTGATGGTTGCAGCTGAATTCTGGGAACAGGGCGATTTGGAAAGATCCGTTTTGGACCAGCAGCCAATTGTAAGTTCAGCACAACTCCGGTGCCTTCCAGGCTTCCCTTTCCATTACTTTTATAGCGCTCATTTGTTTAGTTTTTTTCTCACATGGAAACTTCTTTCTTTCTTTTCTCTTTCTTTCTTCCTTTCTTTCTTTCTTTCTTTCTTTCTTTCTTTCTTTCTTTCTTTCTTTCTTTCTTTCTTTCTTCCTTCTTCTCTTAGCCCATGATGGACAGAAACTGTGCAGAACAGCTACCCAAGATGCAATGTGGTTTCATCGACTTTGTGTGCTCATTTGTTTACAAGGTAAGCCGTTTCTCATACTCCACTGATCCTCTGCTTCTCTTAAGAAACACCGCAGAAAGATGAAACTATAAAGATAGATGTTATGACTCAAAAGTAAATTGATTTGCGGCAGAGTGTGTTTGCTTGAATCTAAATCCATTCATAGTGATAAGGCTTTAAGATTTTCTCTGCAGCTATTTTGCAATTTATGTCAGCAGTTTTCGAAAGTTAGTGTCTGATTCTTGAGTTTAAACATTTTCTAATAATCACAGTAAGCATATATGTAGCTCAAGCAGTCTTAAAAAACCTTTCTGTATGATAAAAACAAGTGGCATCGAGTTCAATAATTTCTCATTCAGAGGTATATATTCTTCTGACATTTTTTCAAATTGCAACCAGACGTAAGGTGATAACTGTAAAGTAGAATGAAAACTTTAGTATTTAAAATTTGTACAAATATAAACCTGAGAAACATAATGTAACATTTCTAGTATCAAAACGACGATTTAAGGTATTAAATCAGGTGTCTGGATGCAAACTTTTGAAACTTATGCTTTTACTTACAATCCCCATAAAATACAACATGGTCTGCGGCTGTGAAATAATTTGTGTTATTTTTTTAAGATGCCGTAAACCACCTATCAATCAAAATGTTCTATATGACTGAAGGTAGCCAGTGAGTTCAAGAATTTCTCATTCAGGGCTATTATTAGCTTCAGAGAGATGTTTTTAAGCTTTCATCTATCCGAGCCGGCGTGAAAAGATGCAGGCTGTGAACTTGTGGAGCACAATAGCGAGCTCCTTTTCAGCCCAGCCCGATATTGTGATGAGCACTGGCGCAGCGTGGGGCCCGCTGTCCCCGTGGATGGCAACACTTACACCTGATCGCTGCCGTGCGAGAAGCGTTCGGCCTTTGAAGATGCTCTCTAAAGAGGGCCCCGAGACAAGAATAACCCTCGTCTGTTGCTCTTTGTGTTTGCCCAGGAGTTCTCCAGGTTCCACAAAGAGATCACACCCATGTTCGACGGTCTGAACAACAACAGGGCACACTGGAACGAGCTGGCTGAGGTGTACAATGCAAAGATGAAGGCCATCGAGGATGAAAAGAAGAAGCTGGAAGAGGAGGAAGCCAAGAAAGGTATAAAAGTTAAACAAGGGTTGCATCGTAGTAGTTTGAGACCAAGAAGTAAAACATTTTTAATCTGTTTTTTTGTTGTTTTTCGTTTAGCTGGTGGTGGTGGTGGTGGTGAGGGAGGGAAGTCAAAGACCTGCACCGTCTGTTAGGCTTCTCCGGTTCATGGATCTGCACTCAAATGGACTGATTAGGACTGATGTGCACGTCTCTAGTCTTAAAGTCATCCTCAAACTTTTGGAGTTCGTCCTCCGCTACATAAGCTAGTTTCTCTCTGGTCCCTCTGCGGATGCGGCATCCCGGTTTTGCTCCAGTCGTTTCCAGGTAGTCCAGACTAGTTAGCGCCGATCTGGATTGCATGAACTGGTCTCCAAGGAGGGAGGAAGAACTGGAGCCGGAAGTAACAGTGGGACTCTCCACAGAGAAGGTCTTTTTGGGAAGGAATGTGTGAAACTTCTTCCTCCATTTGTTTTGAGCAGCGACCAAAAACATGCAAACTCACAATGTAATTCTATGTAAGATTTTATTTATTTTTTTGGCATGCTTGAAATCACGTTGCGATAAATTTAGCTGCTCCCCGCGCTGAGATTCAAATCTTTTAATGTAGGCAGTTAAATAGGTCATTGTTGAGCTATGCCAAAGCAGTAGCATTCAGTGTCCCTTTGGCAATCATAAGCACAATGTATAATCATACTTTAAGCTGCACAATGCACATGGCTGCTGCAGTTTTAGCAGCCAAACCACAGCGAGGGTGAGGACCAACTGGGAGGATAAAGACTTTTCAAATGTAGTGATGGGGACACGTTAAAAGGCGCTTATAAAGAAATATGAATTTATTCCCTTAAGCACATAAAGAGCATCTGATGGCTCTGTTCATGCCGTAAAGGCGACAGGCACAGGGAGCAACGGCGCCAAAACAATTAGGAAAGACAGTGTCTTTCCTGTAAAGGGACTAATGAGTCGTTTGAACGTATATGCTATTCATCTATACATTTTATTCATTTATTTTTCTAGATTATGGGTATTTTGTACATCAACTGTCTTCAACTTGAGATGAGCTTTGATAGAGGCTGTTCCTGAAATGATGAGCAGCTGTGTTGTAATGCAAAGCGTACAGTTTGTCTTGCAAAAATATTCACACCTCTGGCTGATTTTTAGCTTGTTTTGTCACTTTATAGCCAAAAACACAAATGTGTTTGTTGGGGATTTTAAGACAGAAACCAACACAAAGCGGTGTGCTTGATTGTAAAAAGGAAGAACTATAATATGAGTAAAATTCAGAGTGTGCAGGACGCAGGTATTTTGGGGTTTGTCTATACCAGCTTTAAGTTTCTAGAAACTTTGTCCAGTCTTATTTGCAAAGCAGCTCAACGTCGGTACGACTGGACGGAGAACATCTGCAAACATTAATCTGTCTACTGGAAGGCGAACCCCTTCAAATGTCTTGTGTTTTGCAGCCGGTTTTCTTCCCAGATTGCCATGTGTTTAGCTTCCGCCATCTTCCTGTCAACTCCGACCAGCTTTGCTGTCTCTGGTACAGAAAACCCCACAGCATGCTGCTCCCACCACCGTGTATCACAGTGGGGATGTTGGGGTTCAGAATGTTGTGGTGTTGGCCTTTTGACGGAATCTCTCACTTAAACTTCAGCTCATAACTCCTCCAGTGTCACAGAAGGCCTATAAATAACTTGTATATGGATCATTTTTACTACTTAAGTGACTTCTGAAGGCAGTTGATGAAACTGGATTTTATTTAGGGGTACGAAAGTAAGTCTTTGGCTGTAATGTGACAAAATGTGATGGGTGTGAATTCTTCTCCAAGTTACTGTATGTCTTTGAGAACTTTAAGATCACTTGTAAACTGATTGTTTTATTTCAAACTTATTCCATGCTGAAGCTCATCTGTTCTCATGCTTTCACCTGTATACACTTTGATACATAGATGGGACTTTCGTATTGTACGAACCTGATTATGAGAGATGCATGAAAAGCTGCAAGCGCAACCCCTGCTCCTTCAAGAGTCAAACAGATCAACAGTTCTGCTTCTCCTTTAAGAAGCTTTAACAGGATTTGATTGCCAGCCAGTGTTTGACATCCACACAGCTTTGGACTTTAAATACCCGTCTTACACAGGAGCTTTATCGTATCCATGTGGAAACGGCCTTTGCTTGTAAAGACCCAAACTATCGGTCCATTGATTGTGTGACTGTTGGGGGCAAAGTTTTCCACTTCCCTCCCGGACCAACTTTGTGTAAATCAATACGTTTCTTTGTAAACCAGCCGACCTGGTCAGGCGCCTGAGGTCACAGTGCAACGTCAGCACACCTCCTGTTCCACGAGGTAAAAAGCGAGAAGTGGCTCTTTGCGTTCTGTTACGCAACGTCATCTCCTCTAATCAAAGAGGCATCAATCAGGGGCATTTAATCCCATCAGCGCAGCTTTGTGTCTACTTGGAAACTCCTTGTTTGCTGCCCGAGGTGAAGTGAAGAGCTGTTATAATTACTGGAGCCTGAGAGCTTTGATGATTCCACCATGAATTTACAGCGCTGACTGTAAATTCACTTTGGTGCAAACATTTTATAAGAATGCTCCAGTTCCGTCTAAAAGGGATAAAAGTATTCCCTGCTTTTTTTTTTCTTTGAATGTTTTGAGAGATGTGAAAAAAAAGCACTGTATGCATCTTTGTACTTATCCTAAGAATTGTCATTACGACGCTAGAATTCTGTCTTTGAATGTGTAAAATGACATCAAATTTATGTACAAGTCATGAAATGTAATATCTGTAAGTAAATGTAGGAAGGAGGTTTAAAAAAATAAAGAGTAACTCATTTCTCATTATGAAAAATGGCTCTGGCACAAAGGTGAAGCGTTATCTGGAGTCGTGCAGGCACCGACTCGAGCGTCCTCCCTCCCCCTGCGGGTTCAGCAGGGGCTGCGGTGGCGCTCCTTCTTAGTCATATATCGTGCAGGATCTTAAAGTCTCCAAAGGAGGATGAGCCTCTGGGGGGGAAAGAGGATCAGTGGATTGATTCTGATCCCTGTCTGATTCACTGCTGCTGCTGCTTGGGTCTGTTTTCAGCATATTCTGCATGCAGGAAGCTTGAAATTTTGTGCTGCTTTGTCATCTTTTAACAAGGTTTATGAACTGCAAAATATTTTTGCCTTTAAAATGAAGGATGCCTCTTAGGCATAATCTCACAAGATGGAAGAAGCTTAAAAGGTTTCATTTTACAGGATCTTCGTCAGACTGTTTAATCAACGTGACAGTTTGCTCCCCAATTTAGGCAAGAGTGAGATTTCCTTTTACTGACTGCAGCCTGTATTTACACAACTCTGTCAAAAGAACATTTTTCTCTGCTTAAATTTGGATGAAGGAGCTAGACATAGGAATAAGACACAGTTTGATCATTTTGAGCAAAAATATCACAAACAACACTGTATTATAGTGTTAACAAAAGGATTTTAAGCCAAAGTATTGTTGTTGCATGCTGGCAATAGTTTTAACAGGGTTACCTGAAAGGGCTTTTATCGACATCGCCTTTTGAATGTGTCAAGGCTTTCAGCTTACACTTGTATCTACTAACATAAGTAGAGGAATACATTTGGGATGACAGTACTTTAGAAAATAATGAGGCCAAAGTCTCCAGCTTGATTTTAAGTTCATAAGGTAAACAAATATGTCTGTTTAGTGAGGTGACATAAGCTAGGAAAAATGTCTGAGTAGCTCGAAGACCTTACAAACAGGCACTCTATGGAGGGATTTAAAAGCTCTCCCTGGTAAGCTATGACTGCCTGTAATTTACCCGAAAGGCAGATGACAGATGGGACAAAAAATGTATTTGAGAACATTAAAATTCTGTCAAACTTTAAGCAGATGTTGTCCTTTTTGCTCCCTTTCTGACCAGCATTGTTTCCCTTATGTTCCCTAGTATGTACCAGCCACTTACCGGAAATATTTGTCACTTTTCTCAACAATTTCAACTCATGTTTTGGTTTAATGACTCTATAGTTCTGTACTTATCAAAATTTGATTCCAAGCGATGTGACAGGTAGTTTTTTTGTTTGACCCCAGAAAGTGATTTCATGCCAAGGCTACACATGTAATGAGAGTTAAACTATCAATATTAAATCAGACAACACACTCACTCCTTTGGCTCAGACACAAAAGCAAAAAAATGTGCAACAATTTAAGCCATGCAGAAGGATATCAGCTGGTGATTAGATCATAAAGATACAGAAAATACAGTAATGGAAACAATTTTCTTAATTTTTTTTTTCTACTGTCAATCAGCTGACATTTTTTTCAGTCCATTCTATGATTTTTACGAGAGATTTTCAGACAGCACCAGTACATACCCTATATTTCCCGTTTTAGTGGGCTTGACGCAAATGGTTGTTTTAAAATTCATTTTCACATGCTTTTGATGTATTAATGTTTCATAACCTCAAGATACTTAAATATTCTGTCTCTGAAATAAGTCTATATGCACAACTTAAAAAGAATGATGGAACATGCTCCTTTAATTTTTACCCCTTTACTGGTATCCTTTCTAAGTATAAGACTAGCCTTCTTCTAGCCCCATGATTGACAGTGCAAAGCAACAAGTGGGGGAAGGGCATGCGCCGTATCATTCTCCGTACTTTAAACCAACATGAGTCCCTGTTTGAAAAGCAAGGCAGAAAGGGAAAAGAAGATAGGCAGCATCAAAGGGGTAAAGTAATTGTATTTATTTAAGATACGGCGCTTAATCTTCTAACAGCCCCATGTAGCTGCCTTTTCTGTGAGCTGACCACTTCAGTATGCCCTTGGACTGAGGGATGTTTGGAGCTAATCTGCAGCCTATTTGTTGACTGAAGTAAACAGAAAGCTTAACTTTTTCTGGGATTTTCTATGTACTTATTTCTCTCATGTTTATATTCTTCACAAAAATGTTCCATTTTTAGATTTTTTTTTTTTTTCTGGTGAACAGTTAAAAGACAACAAGCTTCCAATGACTTTCTCATTTCTGATCATTAAGAAAAGCTCTGCTTTTGGTTGTCATCTGTTCCATATTAAGTTTATTAGCTCTCATGACTTGCTTGCAAAGTCACAAATGAATTTGATCTTTTTGATTTATGTTTGCAAATATCTGACAGTAAATTTTGAGGGAGCAGGATTTATTTTTTTTTCCTTATTATTTTATGAAGCTCCTGCTGCACTGAAAAACATTGAGTCAAGAAAATAAATCCTGCTAAAGTTCTTTTGAAGCCTCGATTTGCCTTTTTAGCAATTCCTTGTGTTGTCCTTTTAGAAACTTTTCTTGGTTTTTAAAAATCTCAACTTGTCTCCTGACGTTCCTTTCAGTGTCATCTATAATAACGCTACATACGTGGAAAACAGCTCCATGAAAACCTGCCTTTATCGTATTGCTGTTCCCCTGTGTTATGCATGTCAAGTATTTAATCTGTGCAGTGCTAGTAAGCTGCTTAAATGAGCCCATCATTTCTGATTTCAAGCCTCTGTTTATAATTGCAGATACAAGTGAAAAGCTTCAAACCCGAGTGTCATCACAATACATTCAGATTTTAGCGACACGTTCTCTAATAGTCGTATAATCCCGTTTCTAATAGATGAAGATCTCAACGGGAAGTCCATTAAAAGTTTGGCCAATAAAACACTTCATAACACACCTGATAGTAGCTGCCAGATTGTTTTAAATCATCTGGCAGCAGTGCCTCATTTTAAAATGCATTTTGTAGTTTTTATGAGCTAGAGGGCATCCAGGAGAGTCATTTAAGGTCACTTATCAAACATGTGTTACGCCACTGGAAAGACCAGAGTCTAAATAAAACATGGCCTTTTATGACAACATAAGACTAAAGTGATCTGAAGTCTGTTTATAGTCTTAATCCACTCAAGCTTTTTAATTTCAATAACGTTTTAATTAAATAAGTTACAATGGCATTCAATTTCCCTTTGGGATCAATAAAGTATTTTTGAATTCGATTCGTTTTGTTGGGTTTCAACTGATGTTAGCGCTTGGCGCTGAAGAGGCGCTAAATTGTAAACGACGAGTAAAATTTCCAGGGTTTTATCACCAGCTTCAGAAGACTGAATATTTCATGTCAGTTTCCCTCTCACTGCTGCTCTGTCAGATTTTCAAGCTTTTTTTGGTGTGAGGTTTAACTCGTATAAATCTACATACATACATGCATTTTAAAAATGAACTGAACGCTGTGGTTATAACGCGACAAAATGTTGAACAATGACTGAGAGCTATCAAAAATAAAATGGTGTGAATACTTTTACAAA